GTTTTTGCTGTGGAGCATGATTTCTTTTTTTCTTCTTAACGGGTTATGCCTTCGGATCGATACTCAGCTTATGTCTCATCAACTTTAGATCTATCCCAATTATATCATGGGTGGACCATGCGAAAGTGTGAATTTTTTCTACCAGCACCTATCGGATTGATTTTGTAACATTTGTGGATAATTCGAATCCCAGTTTCACTTTTTTCCATTATCTATTTCTACATTTTCAAGCTCATCAGTCGGTTCGGGGTTGAGCTTTATTCGCTCTCTTAGGATGTCGAAAGGGGTTGAGGTTTCGGCATGTACCTCTACCATATTAACTTGTCTCACCCACATAATTGGTAAAGACATATTAGCTCCTTTCAAGCCTAGCACATAAGCTTCTCTGGCTACTCTTTGACTTCCCCTAACTACTATAATGTTGGTAAATCCCTGATTGACGTACATACTATTAAGTCTTACAATGTTGGTCTGCCTAATATTGTATTGTAGGGAAAAGGGACATCTACTACCATAAGTTCTACTTTGAAGATTCTTGTATGTTTTTCATTACCCAATTCCATTTAAATCGATGGCACATTCTACCTTTATATGTTTGCATGCCAATCATACTAATGGAGTGCGAACTAGCCTCAACTTCATCACTTCTAGGTTTAAAGATTTAAAAACCTTGAAAGTTATCAGATTGACTGCACTCCCATCATCTATAAGGATCCTTTTTACCATGAAGTTCTCCAATATACCCTCGATTACCAAAGCATCAGTGTGAGGGAACTGAAGGTTCCTACCATCTTCTTCTGTGAAGGTCAGCGGTTTTCTCTCCATATCTACTTTTGTATTTAGATAAACTAAAAAAAAATTTCTCTTGCTCACCTTTTTCGAGCTAAGGTACTATACCCATCGGTTGTCCCTCCCAATATCATATGAATGGTGCCCAAAGTATTATTCTTATTTTGTTGTCACTTCTCTTTACTCAACGACTCTTCTTTAGGTTTCGCTTTTTCATTGGGTCTTGCTGACCTTATAAATTCCTTGAGCTCTCCTCGGTGAACCAGTCTTTCCATTTCTCTCTTCAATGCCCAATAATTTTCGGTATCATGACCATGGTCTTTATGAAAGTCACACTACTTAGATTTGTCGTGTTTGGATGCCTTTCATGTCCCATCCGAGGAGGTCGGCTAATGTGAACTCTGTTTGGGTTGCACCGAATCCAAGCTAGGACCTTATGTCGACTAATTCTAAGTGGTGTAAACTCCTCTCTATTGGTTCCCCACCTATGTAATCTAACGTAAGGAGCAGGGTAGGGTTAACGTTGCTTAAGTGGTCGTATAGGTGAGTGGGATCTGATTGACTCCTTTTCCTTCTCTTATGGGCCTTTTAAATGAAATCTTTGTGCTTTACATGCGTCGTCTAATTTGGAGAACTTCTTCGCTCTCGCCATAAGCTCTGCAAAGGTGGTAGGAGGGTCAATGTGAAGAGATTCAAACAACTTAGTATACTTGCAGTTTTTTCTCCATGGCGCTAATGGCCACTTTATGGTTCAAATTTTCCACTTGCATTGTCATCTTCTGGAATTTGTCTATGTATGGGCTCAATGGTTCTCCCTCTTCCCTTTTTAAATCCAAGAGATCAGAAGAAATTTTCCTTGCTAAGATGCTGGTAATAAATATGGACTTGAAAAGGGATGTTAATTGCAAGAATAAATTAATGGATCTAGGTTTTAATGTTTGGTACCATTTTTATACAACCCCCTTTAATGTTACAGGAAAAACCCGACACATAATTTCATCCGAGTTTATTTGTAAGTAAATGATGGTTCTAAAGTTAGTGACTTGTTGGGTCAATTGAACCATCATATAGGTCAAACATTGGCATCTTGAATTTAGAAGGCATGGGAGAAAGTAATATGTCTGCTGATAAGGATGAGTCGTCCCTTAGTCTGTAATTACTTGAGTCACCTCCTAACTCCTTGAATTCTCTTAATACTTTTCTGGCACTTCGCCAATCAGCGTCGGTGATAGGTCGATTCATACTGCTCTGATTAGAGCTAGTAAAGTACGTCTCGTCTCGCCATGAGGCATCTTCTCTACCTTCTTGGTCTCCTTCACCAAAATTTACTTGTACTTATTTTGGTAAGCCCTTGGAATTTCGATTTCATAAGTTATAAGGATGTGATTGATCATTATCTAGTGGTGGACTTTGATTCTCTCGATGTGTATCAACTTTTGATTGTTAGTTGGCTATCACCTGAGTGAGTTTTTATAGAATTCCTGCAAAGTTATTCAATGCCACTGCTACTTGAGGATCCGAATTTTCGACGAGGTTTGAATTGCTAGTATTATCTCCTGTTTGGTTGGTTCCATTATTGTTGACAAGGGTGGTGCCGCTGCAACCGCTATTATCAACTTGAACTTCATTGACAAATGGATTCAGATTGTCAACCATCGTCGTTTGAGAAAGATGCGAAGAACAGATTAGGATCGAATAAAATTCAGTCGTGTTTCACGCTCACCACACCAATTGATAGACTTCAAGATACCAAAGTTTACATTTTAGTAAGTGATTGAATGGCCTATGATAATTAAGGATGTCTATATGTATAGGTCTTTCCCTTGGACTCTAAGTCAGCGTCTAAATAGGAAAATGTATCCTTTCCTATTTATGATTTATATGTCAAATATCTTTTTAGCCACTATAATTATAAGAGTTTATAAGTTATATTTTAATTCCTAGTGAATATTTATATTCTAATCAAAGATTAAATGAACACCTTAAATTACCAAGATTCATATTCTCATGAAAGGTAATTTCTACTTTCATCCTTAGTACATCATATTAAGCCTCAATGCATACGAGTCTAAAATTTCGCATATAGGGATTAAAGCAATTCATTGCTTACTAAGAGGGAACTATTACCTTTTAAAAGTCATAGCAAATCCTATTAAGCCCAAAGTCTGTGAAAAACTCATAAAAGTACATATATACTCAATTTGACACTTTTAGATTAACAGAATCCATTTGCTCATTTGTAAATTTACTTTACCTATTCATAGTATTAGCAAGTTCATCACGTTATAACTCGTATGAATTTACTTGCATACATATACTTCCAACTTATATTCATTCTCATGAAAGCATACCAATTCATAATCCGATTTCCATTACTTTTTCTCATTACTAGCTTCAAGTATTAATTAATCTTCCTTAACATATTCATTTGCCTAATCATCCTTATAAAATACCAAAAAGAGGTCAAATTGACTTAAGGTAATTTAAAAACAACCAAATTTATCTTTTTAAGTAATACTCAATGAAAATCATATTTTTCTGACTAACACACTTCTAACTTTAAAACACTAGGTTTTTCCATAAATCATAATTTTCAGATCATTTTAGGTTTAAATCCAAACTTTTAAGCCAAAAGCTATTTAATTATTACAAATTTCTCATTAACTATTCTTTAATCTCCTAATAATTGAGAAGTCATAATTTTTCTTAACTAGCCATTTTAATCAAACACAACTCAACACAAAATCAACCAAAGGACACAAAAGTCCCATGAGTTGGAATGTTAATTATGGTTCGGCAAACTTAGTTTTTCCATGTCCATTTTCAACTCTTTTTTCGTAATCATCATTCTAAAACCATACTACTTTTATAAATTATAAATCAACTGAATTAACAAAAGAATTTAAAACTCCATGAGTCACACACCTAGGGTGGTTCATCCAACCTATCAATTTTGGGATTGTTAATTCTTTTTTCCAATTTCATAAAATTAAAGTCATTACTAACTAACTAAGTTTCATAGGTCACTCATTTCATGTTATTTCACATGATTTCAATCATAAATCATAAAAATCCTATAATCCGAAGCTTTAGTCGCTTCTCTACTTCTTTTCCTTTCTCTTTTTTTGAATTTTCTCCCTTCTCTACCATAGAAAATCATATTTGTATATCATCATAATGAAATATAACTCATTGAAATTCATGAAATGCATGCTAGATATCATAATCCAATTCAATCTAAAATTACCTCAATTTACACCTCCATCGACACTATTCATCGAAATCTTCTAAGCTTCAAAATCCCTTGATTGTGGCAATTAATCGAAGTTTTAATCCATGAAAAACGTTTAGGTGAGGCTAATGTTTATTTCTTACGTGGTTCTTAGTGTAGAAATCAAGTGAAGAAGAAAAGAAAAATGGAGGAGATGCTCTCCCTAGGTGGTTCGGAGAACTTGAAGGAAGAAAGTTGTGTTTTTTATCATTTTGGGGTTTGCTAATTTAAAGGCCACAATCAATCCACTTAAAACTCTTTTTTTTTATTCTTTTACCCTTAAACTCCTCAAATTCATTTCAATCAAACTCCAAATTAACTTTTTATAATTTATATTATTCCTTATCTCTACACGCATACCTATCCTAAGTACTATTCATCTTTTCTAATAATTTCATTTAAGTTCATACCCCAAATTTACACTACTATTTACCACCCACTGGCACTATTTACAATCCGGAAAATATTATTATTCATGGCCCAAGAGTTAGGGGCGTTGCATATCTTTAAAAAATTAACCGAATTAAACCCAAATGAGTTGGTTTAGCTCAATTTTTGGTCATCCCAAATGGTTCTCACCCTGGTTTTTGGCACTTAACTGTCTAAAGAAATTAATGTCTGAAAAAAGTAGATCTCCTTAATAAAAACACAATATAACCCCAATCAATTCCAACACTAGTAGTTAAAGTGGAGGCACTAGCGGTTAAGGTGAAGGTATTAGGACCAGGTTTGACACTCCCTTCCTTTTTGGAAAAAACAAATTGCTGTGTTGAGTTTATAAGTCTGCTTAAATTACAACATTGTAATAATATTATTGTAACATGATATCTATGGAAAATAATATTAAATAATTTTTTATACCAAATATTTCTAATAATCAAAATTGTCATAAAACAAAGAATTAAAAACCATTAGTTACATAATTTAAAACTCATGTAAATTCTATCTAAAAAAATCAATTACTTAGTTAATTAAGAGAAATTACAAATAGAAAGGTATAACAAGGTAGATTTTGAAATCTTAAGTGAAATTGATCCACAATTAACGAAGGCCTTTTAAATAATTAAATTATACTATTACACCTAACAAAAAAAATATGAATATAGTGAAGTCCAAAGCAAATAGGCACCACATACTTGTCCACAGCTATGTTGCGAAAGGCAGAGACAAGCGAGCAGAGTGAGACCTTGCAAGCGGTGGCTTATTCGCCTTGGCTGGCCTACTACTCACATGCTTCAATGTGTAGTTTCCTCCTCTTTGTCCCTCTGTCGCCGCACATTTCACTGGCTGTGGCCCTACACTAACCGCCTTCTCACATCGACAGCTCAACAACCCTCCATTCCCTTCTCCTCCTCTTCTCTTCCCGCAACCGCCACTTCCGCTACTCTTCTCCGATTCATGTCGGCGCATAATTGTCGTCTCCTCTGCTTCTGAGAAATTCGTTACACTTGCTTTGTCGAATCCTTCTGCTGTCGTTACGCTCCAATCAATGCTAGCTTCACTTGGCTCATAATAACATTCTGTTGGTGCTATTAATGCATCCAGGCTTTGCCGGCAATATCCACTGTTGCTGCCGCCCGAACGTCTTGCATTGAATATGGAAGCCTCGTCCATTGAATCCCTCCGATGATTGTACATTGGGTACGACGTTGTTTGAGTAGAGAAGCTCTCTATTTCAAATAAGTCTGAACTCGCATCACTTGCTATGTCATCATCAGTGATAGCCACTCGAGACTTCGGACTTGCCTGAAATGTGAAACTCTGACGTCGTTGAAGTTCCGCTGCTCCTGTCTTGGTTGAAACAGGATCATCAGACGGTTGGAAAACTTCCAGTGAATCCCGAGGTGGATCCTCAAGCGGAAGAGGAGTAGGAGGAGGAGGGTTATTATAGCTAGTAGGCGATGGCAATCCATTTAACGCTAGTTTCATAGGGGATAATGATGATAGTGTTGTTTGGTTGAGTATGGGGAAAGAGAACCCATTTGTACCATCTGTGAATGGTCTCGTTGACGACGCTAACACGCGGTGGTGGCTTATACCTGAAGGAAAACGGTTGTTATCTGCTGAGATTATTGTATGAGAAATAGGAATGACTTCCTGTCTTTGAAGCCAATGATCTGTTACAGCACAGCATTTTTCAACCGAGTCAGGAGTTATCTGTCTTTTGAGATTCCGGTCTTCTTTAAACTTGTGATTTAGACGCGACGGAGTTCTTGGTTCTGATAGTTTTTCCTCAACTTGAACAGATTTCTTGCCAGAGCAAGGACATCTTCGTCCAAGAAGCCATTTTGATGCAAATCGTTTTTTCTTTTCATCATTATGACCAGAAGCAGGATTACGGATAGAGACAGCAATAGCACCTGGTGGGTTTGACAGCAAACCAGTTTGGCTATTCCAGCTTGCCTCCGACGAAGCTGTTGGCGTTGCATGGAATGATCGAGTCCTATAATTCCGACCATACCCGTCCACTGAAGACGAAGCAGAAGAGAATCTTGGAAGAGAAGTGAAATCACATGTTTGAGAAATGCGTTCCAGGTTAATAACATTAACAGGAGAAACTCTCTTGCTCATTCGCGAATCCCCGCTGTTACTGTTTTCATTGAAGTATTTCTGCGCATCAAAAATGCTTAATTCAGAATCTTCAGCCTGACTGTTGAGTTGCTGCTGCTGATGTTTGAGATGAGAGGAAAAAGATGCATCTGAAGTTCTGACAGTTGATGAAATTGATTTCTGCTGAAAGGAAACAAAAGGAGGGGAAGGGTCTCCAACGTCTAAGCCATCAGCTGCAATGGTTTTCGTGGCTAGTGTTGATCTTTCCATTTAACGAAATTCAGATAATCACAGAAACCCCAACAAGACCTGTCTTCGAAAATCCTCTCTCCTATTCTGTATTATATGTAGGAAGTTCAGGGATTCAATAATGGAGCAGTAAAATATTAGTCAGCATAGAAGATGATGGGAAAGACTCACCTAGACCGCCATCATCAGGCATAAACACCTAAAATTTTAATAATGGAAGTTGATGCAATGGATATATACTTAATATAAGCAAATATTTTCTCAAAAAAAAAAAAAAAAAAAAAAAAAAAAAAAAAAAAAAAAAATGTGGAGCCAGTAAAATATTAGTCAGCATCAGAAGATGATGGCGAAAGACTCACCTAGACCGCCATCATCAGGCGATAAAACACCTAAAATTTTAATAAGGAAGTTGATGCATGGATTATACTTAATATAAGCAAAATATTTTTCTCAAAAAAAAAAAAAAAAAAAAAAAAAAAAAAAAGAAAAAAAAAAAGATTTTGGTGATATGGATATTTAATGTTGACGACAAAGACCAGCCTAGTTCAAGTCACTAGTCACCCAATCCAAATCAACAACTAAGTATTAACGTAGAAAAACAAAAGGCATGTCACGTTAGCTGAATGGTTTTGCATACCCTACATTACACAGCTCCTAAATCAATCATCATCTTAGGGATTGGTATAGCACCAAGGTCTAGTATTTTTATAATGCCTCTCCACTAGTCCTACACTTCACCATCCATTCCCTATCAGCAGCAAGTGCTATTGCCAACCAATATCAGCAGGCAAGACTGCTGCCATTTTGTGAGGAGACGCAATCTTCCTCTCCTCCACATTCTTTTCTTCCTCTTTTTACAACAATAATTATAAACAATAACACAACACTCAGTTACATGTTGGGAGGTATGCATTTCTATCCGCAGAGACCCATATCTGAAATAATATGTCTTTCGCCAATGTTTCAAAATCAAAGCTCATGTTTATTTTCTTTTCTTTTATTTGGTTATTAATGTGTAGGTAGGAAACCAAAACCCTCGACATGAGATGAAAGTTTGAATAGACGCTCTTACGAAAAGGTTTTTAACCAAATTGATTTTATTCCATGGAAAAAACTACTGATATGCTTAATATTAACTATTTTGCCAATTTCCGATATACAAGAAAAATTTCAGTAACACGTTTAATGATTAATTATCCACACTGCAAAGTTAAAGGCAATAAAACAGAAATACAAGAATAAGAAACGCAATTGAATATACTGGTCATTAACACCAATCTCCCTAAAATCCTTGGATGTGAGTTTGATCTATGGTTTCCACTGCTCAGTTATTTTTGATTGGAAATATTCATCTCATTTCCGATTCAAAAGGAAAAAAACATTCCAATTGCAAACTAAGATTGCCTATAAAAACATAATCTAACAGCTAACTTCTCCAATGCTCCTTAAATTTTATAAGATTAATATAAGATTCCATAAATTCTTAAGTTGCCGCCCAAACTGCTTCAATCTAGCCTGCAAGACTTGCTCCCGCTCATCAGCCACCTCTTCTTTTTGGACGCAAGCTGCACATTTAGATGTTCATGTAATTAATTGACAGACTAGCCACAAGGTAAAAACAGCAGAAAAATGTACAAAAGCTTCCACTCAGAAGGATTACTCGAAAAGAATAAGGAAAATAAAAATAATATAAAATAATAAGGGGAGCATAAACACAAAGTAATGCCATCCACAAACAACAAGACTTAGTATACTAGAGGGTACTGGATCCATCTAAACATCTCTCCAGACGAATTGAACAAGCAGATGAACCCACATGATTTCTTGCCCATAGCAAATGGAGAAGGGCAGCCTCAAAGGACAGCACGGGAGGAGGAGAGGGGGGGGGGGCAAGTTGGAAGGGAGGGCAAAAAAAGCCATGTTTTTCCCAATCATAAAAGGGTAATGCCACACAAGTAAATGCCCAAAACCCATCCATCCGAAGATTAAAAGGAAACAAAAAGATAGAATACCATAGATGGAAAAGCCTTAAAAGTTCAAGTGTTAAATTTGATAGTATCAAAACATAGTTGTGGCCTTCTGTTAAGTAAAGAAACTTGACTAATTTATACTATGCTTCCTCAATCGATTAGAAAATTAAAAATATGTATAGTGCCTTGGACTCAGTATATTGTGAACTTTTGGAAAATGAAATAGATGGCAATGCTTTTTGCAAATTTCTTCCTTTTTTTAACAAAATCCATGGTTATTTTAAAGTCTTCACATAGATTTATTATGGTTTTAAAAAGCTTTTAAGCCTTATTACTCTTTGCGTTAGCCATCACATTTCCTAACTGTCATTAAAAATAATACTAATACTAATCTCCAGCAAAGAAAAAAATTTAAGGTACATCTAATAAACATCAAATCTAAACAAATCGATATTTCTTCCTTTACATTGTCCAGAGTGTGGAGAAGGCAGTAGTTTATAATCCACGACCTACTAAGAATTAATTCTTTGTTGGGAAAAATAGCAAAGGACAAAGAAAGAGAGGAGAAAAGATAGTAACAGAAATAGATTGACATTTCTGCTCTCTTATTGAAGAAGGTGGAAATAAGGGTAAGAAAGGAAGGGGAAGTGAGCTCTGTTGTATAACGAACAATTCAAGGAAACTACAAAAATTTAACCATAAATTAGATGTGGATTAAATATAGAGAAAAATTATAGTACGTCTTTATATATATTGAAAATAAAACGACTCCATCCGCTGTTTTGTTTAAAAATGCTTTTGAATGTCCCTTTCTCTTAAAAAGTTAAAAACTAATAGGTCCCTTCTATTTTTTTTTTTTTTTTCAAAAAGCCAATTTTTTGCCAATAGTGCCTGATGAGGAAGTCAAAAATAGCCTTATTTTCCTATCAATTTCATTTTGCACTAGATATCCAATCTCTCTCTCCATCATCAACCACCATCGAAACCCAAACAATTAATGCAGTTGGAACACATCACTTTTAACATAAAGCGATTGGCCTGCTTCACAACATTCTAAGCATTACCAAAGCAATTTCGAATCAGAGAACTTCTTCAACCTAATCCTCTTGCAAACCCAAAAGTAAGTGCCCGGTAAAAACTCTGTAGCCAAAAGTCATGAATACTCCCCAGGTCTCTAGCCCCACTCTTCTCTAGATCAAGAGGATAAACAAGCCAGCCATACAGGAAACAAGCTTTTTAGTAACAAAAATATTCACATTAAAGGAAAACTAAGAAAAACAAAAAAATCTTCTTCCTCAAATTTAATTAAGAGAACTCCTTAGTATTAAAATTTTTTTTCATTATTTAGCAAAGTGAAAGTAAAAAAAAATTAAAGAAACACCAACAATATGGCACGAAGCAAATGCACCTTTTAGGACTTGTGGAGGAGGACAATAGTTAGGCCCATTCCAATATCTAACATATCCCATATAAACTAAGAAGAGAAAAAAATGTGGGCCTTTCTCTCGTCTCCTTTGTAGGAGGTCTTTCGTCCCTATTTTTTTTAGGTTTTTTCAAGTTTTTTCCTGATTTTTTTCTCTGATGGCCTGAATTGAGGACGGGTCGGTCGATATTGGCCAATCTTTTCTGTGGTACGGGATGAGGAGATGCTTAGTTATGGGATGGATGAACCGCTTGAAAAAGGATCAGAGTGAGAACCCTAATCTATGTACTTGTTGGGCTGATTTTTTGACTGAAAAAATAAATTAATTTCCATGCAATGAGACATACTTTGGCTCGTATTCTGGGCGTCCGCTGATGGGTATGCAGATCGTAGTTGAGATCTGTTGAGAGATTTTATAATGTTAATTGTATTTCTTGTATCTCATTCAAATCGATTACTAGCGTCTATTATATAAGGAATTCTTATGCTACCTAGCTATTAGGAATACAAAATCATAAACTAATTGAGAAATCTAACTTCCTAATAAAAACTCTATTAACAAACTAATCCTTAACCACTTCCCCTCAAGTTGGAGCATAGATGTTGAATCATTGACTCAACTTGTTACATAAAACTACTACTTTCAGCAAAAGCACAGATTTTACCATTACTCAGTCAAACTGTACCCCACTTTTCGATGATCAGCAAATAAAAGAAGAGTCCCAAAACCAAAATAAGTAGTAGCCAGGGGAATTCCCAATGACCAACAACAAACTTTTAAAGGGTTTTGGGGGATCTTCCTCTTTCCCCCCCTTTCCCGCCCCCCCCACCCCCCCCCCCCCCCCCCCCCCCCCC